CATTTCCAACTCAGGCTGCATTTTAGCCCTGTATTTCTTTTTTGAAAGTTTGGCAATCATAAGTAACATGGTTTTCCCATAATGGTCACCATGGCAGCAGCACCCAAAATAGTGTTTTTACTACTATTCTGATGCAATATTACATAATGGTTAACAGCATAAAGACCGTCAATTTTTTAAAATTAAAATATACGTATCATGGATTTTCAGAAAATGTGACTAGCAATACAACTGTCTTTAAGCATATCTTGTGAAAAATTAAATTTTCACAAAAAAACTGTTTAACTGGCAGTAAGAATTACCAAACAGACTGCATTGCCTACTGAAGCTGTATTTTAGTCGCATGTTTCTTTCCTGTAAGTTTGAGAACAGTAAGTGACCTGGTTTTTCTTAAATGGTCATCATGGGAGCAGTGCCCAAAATAGTTTTTTTGAAGCAATATTACATAACGTTTAACAGCATAATGACCATCAATTTTTAATAATAAAATATTAGTATCATGGATATTCAGAAAATGTGAATTGGGAAGGTCTTCAGGCCCATGGAACTTCAAAGTCACAACTTGAAAATGCCAAAATGTAAACAAGACAGCACTGTTCTGAAATGTTTTTTTTTTAACATAAAACAAAATTGACAGTTAACTGCCATTTTTATATGATCAACTAAGAAAAATATCAATAGTGTTAAATGTCCAATATCTTCCATTCTGAGATTCTGAACATAGTGAATGATTGAATCTGACAAACTGCTATGACATGAGTTTATTTCCACTTTTGAAACTTTTTTACACAATACACGATAATAAGTTTACCATTATTTTAACAAAATCAACTAACAATGTTGTAAAGATGCAGGAAATGTCAAACAAACACTTTTATGTATCTTATTAGTTAACTAATGAGACTGTTAACATGCTTAAGAATTGAATCTGAGGAAATATGAAAAAACAACATAACTTCTAAAATAATGGCCTGATTTTTAAACTCAACCTGTGTTTTAGCAGCATTGACCACTCCTGTGAGTTTAATGACAATTGGCCTATCTGTTTTCCTTATATTGTGTTTATAGTGTTGCATATATGCTGGAAAGTGTGGAAAAAAAGCATAACTACTAAAATAGTGGCCCGATCATGCCGCTTTTCAAACTTGACCTCAATTTAGTGAGATCCATTACCCCAGCGAGTTTCATGACAACAGGCCTATCGTTTTTTTCTTGAAATGTGTTTACAGTGTTGCATATATGCTGAAAAGTGAAAACATCTTAAAAATGCCAGTTTGAAAAATTAAAAATTAAAGAAAAAATTACAAAAATAATCCACTAAAGCTGCCATTCAGTCTAGGTGCATAACCATGATATGAATCATCCAACTTGAGTTTAAACAGTGTAAACAACTCACAGAAATATAACATACTTTGTTTTACTACAAAAAGGGCAGTCATAGCTATTATTCTGATATCTGAACTTTTCATCAGACCATGTGACATCCATAGATGGCTATACTTTGTAATAATTTCTTAAAAGATTATAACAAAAAACAAGGCAGCAAAGCTGTCAAATGTACAGACAAAAAAACAGGAAAAAAAGGTCAATTTGTCAATTTTGATGCAATAATAAATAATGCTTATAATAGCACAGTCAGTCAACAGTAATTTTTAATCATGCACAACAGGTAACATGGTCAATAACAGGAGCAGATCCAGAGATATTTTCTGACAGTATTCCAAAGTATCTATGTTGATCCATCCTCCATTTTGATGGTCTTCCAACAGAAAAAAAATAGATACCAGTCAATATAAACTTAATAACCTGTCTGTCTTCCGGAAGACCCAGAAGATGGTCTCAATCCACCCCTTCAATAAGATTGCAGTTTCAGGACCATGAGAGACCAAAGTCACATGATGAAAGTCTCAATATTAGAAAAAAAACAGAAAATAAAGATGCAAAAAAGGTCATTTTGTCAATTTTGATGCAATAATAAATAATGCTTATAATAGCACTGTCAGTCAACACTGAATTTTAATCATGCACAACAGGTAACATGATCAATAATAGGAGCGGACCCAGAGATATTTTCTGACAGTATTCCAAAGTATCTATTTTGATCCATCCTCCATTTTGATGGTCTTCCAACAGAAAAAAAATAGATACCAGTCAATATAAATGTAATAACCTGACAGTCTTCCAGAAGACCCAGAAGATGGTCTCAATCCACCCCTTCAATAAGATTACAGTTTCAGGACCATGAGAGTTCAAATTCACATGATGAAAGTCTCAATATTTGAAAAATGATGACAGTGCATAAAATAATATTACATAAGTAACATAATGTTTAAAGACATAAAAAACAATACAACTGCTTATGTGGAAATACAGAAATGTCAGAGCCTCAGGCCGATGAGAGCTAAAAGTCACAAATGCAAGTGTTTGAGAAAAAATTATAAAGGAAAACATAACAAAACTAGAAAAGCGCTCAGAGAGTGCAGACCTCTGCCAAGGCAGCAATTGTTGATTATTATTTATTATTGTCCTCTTTGGCCCACTTCTGACAGTTCCTGAAAATTTCAGCAAAATCGGTCCATAACTTTTTGAGTTATGTTGATGACAGACAAACGGGGGTGAAAATATAACCTCCTTGGCAGAGGTAAATATAATTCCAATGAAGCTGCTATTCAAACTTTTATTCTTTGAGTTTTATAATAAGTTTTTATTATATATATATATATATATATATATATATATATATATATATATAATTCAA